GCTATTTTGTGTGAATCAGAATAGGAAACCTTTAGGATGATTGGTGCTTTGGGCTGCAGGGACAAATCTCTAATCGCTGGTCCTTCAAGGATACAGCAGCTCTATCCTGCAAAGGTTCACATGAGGATGAGAGTCTTTGTCTGGGGTTCCCACCCAGTTTTTGCATGGCTGTTTCACTGTTGGTATGGCTGTAGGTGTCTAAGGAAGATATTTTTTGCCCACTGGACACATTTGCCCAAGAGAGCTATTTCTGTCCTTCAATAGCTCAAAAGAGCACAAAGGTATTGCTTTGGTATTAGAAGACCAATCTGCCAGGAAGATTGCTCTTCATCCATCGCCTCTCAGTGCATGTCCTCTAATACATCATAGCTAGGAGCAGGAAGGCTATTGACTTTTGTGAATGAGAATATCTGATGTTCTGATGGGTTACTTAGATCTGTACATTAAACTTTCCCCCTATTATCCGTATTGCAGAACAGGGATTTGTTCCTGCATAGGTCTGTCTTTAGTCTCACATTATTGCACAGTGAATTCAAGGCCCTTGTGTATCACATGGACCTCCTCTTCCATCACCAATATTCACAAAACAGAGAAGTGCATGTGAGTTAGAAACTGTGCATGGTAACTTTAGCCACCTTTGTACGGCAGAAATCTGAAGGTACTCTCTTTTTATAGTCTTTTATATCAACAAAAAGTTTTAGCTGTGTGAATGTAACTAGATACACTAAGCATAAACCAGCTTCTATGTGGAAACTCATAACTGTAGTTTAGGTCAGGGATTTCAGCAATATTGGGGGCTCTTTTAAGTCTTTGTGCTACACAACATGGGTTTCAAACACAATATTTTCTTTTCCTTTTCTTTCCCCATTTTCTTTGAGATACGGTACATTTTGTTCTCAATTTAAGTGATATCATTTTGGTACCTCCATAGTCTGTAGCTTGCATGTAGCCTCCAGCTGCTAACTTGTGGGGAGTGCTGCCCTTCAATATTGATATGGGTGCTTGTGCTCCTGAAGATCAGTGTTCAATCTCTGACCCTTAATGCATTACAGTATTCTCGGTAGCAAACATGTTTGTTAAAAACCACTTGAGGAGATGGAGTGGGGGCTTGTTTACCTATCAATTTGGGAACAAAATAGGAGAAAAAAAAACAAGGAGTTACAAAGAAAGCAACTCCTCACAAATCCCTGGATCATGGAGCTCAGCCAAGGACCTTTACCAGCTGAGCAACTCAGGATGCCCCTTAATTGTATTTTCAAATAGTTTCAAATAGCAAGCCTACACAAACGCACATCCAGTTTGGAACCAGGCAGAAATGTTTGAACAAATCATTGTCTTAAGAATTTATTAGACACTTTAAAAACAGCCCCCTGAAATAATGTAGTATGTCACCAAAATATTATTAGAAAATCAAGGCCTTCACAGGCCTCTATCAGAGCGACCAGTGGAGTGACATATATTTTAGGAAGATTGTTTGCCTTGTGCTGTAAAAAAATAATGGATACAATGAGCAATTATTATTCTGACACTGTTCCTGTTAAACTCGAATTTCATTCAAGCTCGTCCTCTCTAGCAAACAAGCTCTCGTCTTTTCTTGGAATGGCAGAGAATGTGACAGAGACCATTCTTCTCATATTTCCATTCCCATACCTTTTGAAAGATCACGCTTCCCGGATCTTATGCCTTTGAAGTCTTTCAAAATCTGCTATAGTTGACATGTATGAATTTAGTCTGAACTGAAGCTCTATGATAAAAAAAAAAAGATTTAAGAGTAAGGAAAGGAGACTCTTTTTTTAACCAAAGTACTGAGGGAGTGTGGCAAAAGTTACCCAGCAATATTTTAAAAAATGATACACCATTCTCTTTCAAGAAACAGCTGGCTGAGATCCTTGAATCAAGAGACCAATCCAGATTTGCTGACTGGCCTTCCCTTGTTTGCATATCCTGTCTTATGCTTTAACATTTTTAAATGTAAAAAGTAATGTACTGAGTGCTATCCTATTTTTAAAAAAATGTTATCTTCAAATAGATTGAGGTGGTTTCTTTTCCTTCTGGATTCTTCCACTGATTAAATATCATGTTGTTTTGTTTTTCAAATGTTGACTGCCCTGTCTGTAGGTGCCATCAGAAATCGAAAACTCTTGATAACAGTTGACTTGAGAACAATTTTGGTATCTAATGCCTTTCTTCAGGAGTGGAATGTCGTATCACTTCTTTGCTGAAGAAATATTACCAGATTAAATACCTCATTGATTCACTTTGTTACTTAATCTGTTCCCAGTGATGATATCTATAGATAAGTGGGGTAAGTCTAAGATGGGGTTTTGTGAAACACCTACACACCTTGCTGCAGGTTTTACAACAGACAAAAACTATTCATTTTTTTACTTCACACAAACATGCTGATATTGCAGAACAAAGGTTCAGCCGTCAGGGGTACTAATTTAAGCTCTTCCTCCCCCACAGAAGCTGTCCTCTTCTAATATTGATGCTTTGCCAAATTACTTTTGCGTTAATTTCCGGTGGTTTCAGTAAGAATACTTCAGAAGTGTATGACTGAAATACAGAATGTTTAAGAGCTCGCTTCGTTATCTTTGTGTGATATTACAAAGGCTGGCTACAGTTGCAACTTTTAAAGTACCCTGTTTTTTTGGTTCGTAACATTTCTAAAATGTGTAGAAAGAAACTTAAATGTGGAAACGCACAAATAGCTAAGTCCTGTTTGAAAAACTTCAGTTATTTCAAAACAATAACCTAACAAATCAGTTAATGAATGCTTCCACCCTTATTACAGGCTTGGTTGCCTCTTGCTATTGTAACACAAGCTGCAGCACATTGTAACATGCAGAATGGGTTTATGGCCATTACCAGCAAGAACAACAGCTGAGACTACAAGATGCACACAGCAACATGATGCGAACCCCTGAGATACAATATCAATGCTTGAAGACACATGTTTTATACTGTTTTGAGCTGGTTTTCAAAATCCCTAGAAAACTAATCAGGATGGTGTACTGAGTAGAAAGCTGCACCTTTCTGAGACGTGTGCTACTGGACCTGAATCCGTTGAACTTGATCTCTTGAGCGACAGTAAGGGGCTTTGATTCATGGATTCCTCATGTGTATTAAAGGTCAGTCCAAATGACTGCTTCACAATCAAGGGCCAGAAGTTGAATTTGAGAAAACTGCAGACATGAAGTGCTTCTTTACACAAGGACTAGATGTTTAGAAAACATCAGTAAGACCGATGCCCAGAATGGGATCATTCTTGAAACTCCCAGAAGGCTTTATAGGATAAATAAAAACTTACACTTGTGTGAACAAAAAGGGAAAGAGTTTTGGAGATTTAATGTGATAAGCATTAAATATTTCTGGTACATTGTGTCCCTGATAGAGTTACCACCCACTATTTCTCTCTTGCATAGCCAGAGTTTGAGTACAAATACTTCGGTCTCGCCCTGTCTTTTGTCAGCTAGACAAGCTCACAACAACAGGTCAAGAAGGTGATGACAGCCTTGCTATTGCAGGAATGAAAACACACAAGACCGAATCGAAGATGAATGCAGCAAGTGGGGTGCAGTTCAGCAAACTGTGCAGGCTCGAATGAATTGGTATATTTTACAATCTCTGCATTTTGAAGTTACATTTGAGGAATGTTTCTTGATACGAGGCCATGCAGTTTCATACTTGGCATACTTGAATTAAGACCTAAGACCTCAATGGTCTCTATTGCACAACACCAGTCTAAATGTAGCTTTCCTTCAAGAAAGTGCAAATGTTAACTAGAGGAAATCAAACATGAATCATACTGTAGTTCTCTAAGTGAATCTTCTTTTTTATCTTGTTAGCTTTTGTTGCAGCAGGCAAGGCTGGTCTATGTCAAAGCGTACCCTGAGGGTTTCTGTTGTCAAGAAAATCAGCAGGGGGTAACACTGAATTCAGAATATTTGAATATTTATTGTTTATTGTGACCTTATATTAAAGAGCTTAAACCACCCTGTCAAACTCCGGTATGTATATTTTCCAGTGTTCAACATCTATCTTTAGTTCTAGTTCCTCAGCTACAGTGTTGGGTTTCATTCCAACTATGATTACATTTAATTAATTAAAACAACTATTAATGGCTTAGTCAAGGAGCTAGCGACTTAATATAAATATTAGGCTTTTAGGATTATGAAATCAACTGTCCAGCCATGTTGCTGTAGCTGATACCTTTGCGTTTTTCAAGAATCAACTGAACAAGATCCTTGGACAAGTTACGTATGGGGGCTGAAGGGCCTCATCTCATTTGTAGCTGTCATTTTTATATTTTAATTAATCTTGGAGCACCATGACTCCCAATGACTAGATTTAGATGGCCATTGTAAATTCAGTGTCTTTGGAGCCACTGAAGCAATTTCATTGTGCCTAAAAGGTCTGTGCTTCTAACATTTATGGCCTGCAAGATTCAGTGTTATATCGGAGTAAAGAGGAGTCTTTTATGTTCCACATTTGACAAACGTTTCCTTGTCATATCTCTGCCCCACACATCACAAACACAATGGTGTAACTGTAAGGAGCATGTACCTGGTCATTACAGAAATGGCCTGAATGTGAAGAGAAACAGTTAAGGTGCAGTTTTCAAGGTAGGGGGAGGGACAAACAGTACAATGTAATAAAATACAGACCAAATAAACAATCAGTTGCATCCTAGTTAGTAATTGATCCTGATTAACTGCATAGTGACAGCCATGCTTCAGGGTTCTCACCATCTTTCCTTCACTGTGCTGATTCTTTTGATGTGCATATCTTGAGGCTGTTGTGTAAGGACTGCAATTCTGTCTTCTTAGAGATAAGAAGTGTTCTCTGCAGTTCAGTGGCGTGAGAACTGGAGGCTCTACAGAGACCTCTCTTGACAGTTGAAATACATTCTTGAGGCGTTATGAAGCATAAAAAATATTTTCATGACCGGCTTGTTGGAAGGCATGTTAAAGATCGCTCACATCGATTGGGTTACAGTGTTGTTAAAAGAGGACATTTTATTTACTATAAATAAATCCAAAATAAATATTTTTGCAGTTTTACAATAGTACAATAAGCAACAAGACTTATAGCACACGAGTCACAAGTAGGATCAGTATGCTTTAATAAGATATCAGTGCAGTAATACATCTTCTTATTGGGTTAAAGTTCCCATACATTAATAATAATATTGTCAATATGAATTTAGCAGTTTAGCTATGAAAAATATTCATATCAGTAGTTAACGTAACTATAAGGTTTCAAATGTTGGCAAAAGCAGAGAATTTGCAAAGAAAAAACAAAACCCTCATAACATTTAGTAAAATGCTGATATTGTCTTTAAGGTTGGAAATAAAAAGAAGTCCCAAAAAACATGAATACATATCTAAAAGGCCAGCATTTTTTTCCTTCAAGTGCCAGCTGAGCTACAAGTTTGGTACACTGCTTTCTTGTAGGTGTACCTTGTCAGTATGCCTCACTTACTAGAACGCAGTTCTTAAACCTCTGTCTGTGACAGTGCTGAAAGGACTTTCGATTTTGCCAAGGTAGGCAATACTCAAGAGAGGAACCCCTCCAGCTTGGCCTTTTTTTGGTCAGAAGGGGACAAGTGTTAGATGCGGTGGATCTTGGTGAAGGTGGGATGCGTAATACTTGCCATTTCTTTAAGAAACAGAAAGAAAGGAGAGGAGAGAGAAAAGGTCTATAACCTGTTCACTCATTTCCTATCCACAGACCCGAGTCCTTGTGACTGGGAACTCTTTGAATTCTAACACTCAAAAATAGTAATGCATGCATTATGGATTACTGTTCTATTTAAAATAGTTCTGAATTGAGTTTTAAGAAGTGTTTTAAAATATTTTTAAAAATATATTTTACAAAAAAAGGCTCTCCACCTGTGACTTCATGTTGAGCTTTCCCTGTTATGAGCAGTACCAACTACTGTTAAAATGAAAACAGTAATTGAAGAGTGAAAGTACAGAGTGTCCATTAAATGTGTGCAAACTAGCTGGAGATCTAATTCTCCAAATCTGAGGAAGACATTCATGCTCTCATGATTCTGCACACATGTCAAACTGAACTTGGAATATTGTCAACATCATGATTACATAGCTGTAAAAAAAGTCTGTTCAGGTCAGATTGAGAGTTATTTAAGGTTAGTAGAGTGCCTTCATTCAGCGTAGTGACTGGACACCATAGAGAATCATTTCTTCCTCCATTGGTTTTAAACATGCCCAGCCTTGCAATGCTTTAAGAATTGGTAGGTTTATTAGCTCAAAACCAGGATGGTCCCAGGATGTGTTTGAAGATTTTCTAATCTAGACCTATAACAATTACAGTACAAGAAGAGCTAAAAGAAGATGGTGATCAAATTACCAACTTCCAGAATTGTTGTTGGACCACCTGGACTTAAAAGCACAAGGACCAAGATCCATCACGCTAAGAACAGAACTAACATAAAGGATAGGTCTGTAGTTTCCCCTTATCTATTAATCACTATACTTGAGTTTCCCCTCAAGCTAGTTACAAAGACAAATTCTTGTCCTGTGGATCCCAACAGCAGTTGGATGCCCAACAGCAAATGATTTACTGTAGGTAACTTACTGAATCTAGCTTCTTATTTTAACGATATTGAAAGAATAAGTTTAGTGTAATCTAGTTTTAAACATCTGTATCAAAATAGTTTAAACATGCTGTATTATTAAATACTTATTGCTAATAAGTACAAACTGAGTACTAAGTGTTCTAAATCTTACTTAAGTAAGCCGGGTCTTTACATTACTGGTGTGATAGTGATGATGTTTCTAAAACATTTTGCAGTATAAGGAACAGATTATTTATTTGGGGGCCAGAGCTGACTTCTCTCTCAGTATAATACAGGTGCCGTCCCAATTTAAGGCTCATGACTTCTTAATAAGGGTTCAACGGAAGAACGCGATTTAAAAAAAAAAGGCAAATGTTTTAATTCTAAAAGATGTTCTTGCCAACATACTGTAGCTTGGCATGAAAAGACATCATAAAACTTGGTCTTAACATAAGGTTGTGAAAGTCTCCTCTAAAGCTCGATAATTTGGTAATATTTGCAACTCTTCACCTGGTAGAAGATACGGTGTAGGCAGTTGTGCTGTTGCTACAGAATCTCTTTGTAAGGCAGTAAAGAAAAGGAAGGACAGAATTCTGCCAACCCTGGAGTGACAAATATAGTAAATTGAAAATGAATGAGATTTTTCGAATTAGTAAATAATGATGATACAAAAGTTAATATCGGTAAAGGTTAATGCTTTTAAAATTGAACCAAAGCTTTGCTTCTCAGTTTTCCCAGTCTTGGTGCACTTGAAATAACCTAACATGCTTTGTGCTTATCTGGATTGTGAAATACTGTTCCAGACACACCACACCATACGCTATGCTGCTTGTGTTTGTCATGGAATCCAGGCAGTAAAATGTTTTTGTTGAGGAACTAAATTAGTAAGAACTTTCTTTGCCTAGAATTACTTAATGTGCTTCCAACACTGTGTTATTTTAAGGTTCCTGTATCAATTTCTTTTCATTGAAATACACTTCGAAGCTGGGTTCTGATGGTCTTCAGGATTGCGTGTTTGAATTAGGGTGGAGTTTGTATATAACATTATTCAACTCTTACTTTCTAAAATTGGTGATAAATATATTTTTCTGATTGTACCAAATTTTAATGTGGCTTAAATGTTTTCACTTGTATTTTTGAATCTACAGTACCATCAGACAATCATCTTAATCAAGACATTTCTGCATTATGCATTACTGTTCTATTTAAAGGTTGGTTGTACATTTGAATCCTAAGATATTTCAGGATAAAAAGCACTGAGACATTTTCTTCCAAACCAAAAGGAATTTACAAGTCTCTATGGTGTCAATCAGACTAATGAGGGGTGTGCTGCAGTTAAAAGAGGACTTCAGGCCATATTTTTAGATGTTCTATAATTTAGCAATACCAAAGGTTACAAAGGTGTGGTGATAAAATGAGGGATGGGGTAGGTTTCTCCGATCTGGTGTAGCTAACACTGAACGTGCAACTTCGAAAATTATTTTTAGTAGAAAGAAAATCTTTTCTTAGAGAGATTCTGCATCTGAAGGGTGTACAGCATTAAAGACAAAATCAGCGCATACAGAATACAGTATGTTAATAAAGCTGGATCCCAGGAATGTTCTAAAATTCATTTTAAAAATAAATGCAGGTTGATTATAGCTATGAAGCACCATCACTTTAATATTGTTGAAAGTGATTCTGTCTCATTTGTTTAATACATTAATTTGCTACACGTCTAGAGTGGAACACAGTGATAAATGAATTTTATCTTTTCTTTAAAGAGGATCAGTAGTACTGGCCCCATGACAAGGTTATGTTTTCACATTTCTCCAGAATGCCACTATCACAATAACAAAACAGAAAACCAGCACTACAAAAATAAAATTTCCACTTGTTGTATATTAAAAGCAAACAGGATTCCACTCTGCATCTACTGGGTAGATAATACAAAGTACCAAGGCACATGAATACTAAACACTAGCATAGAAAACTCTGCCAGCTTTATATTCTCTTTTTTATATAATTAAATTGGCCACCACACAAAGACAGGTCAACAAAAGCAACAGCGTGCCACTTACTCTGCATCCACATAACAGCCTATTTACAAATCCTGGTAAAATAAGGGTACTAAAAACTGAATTACATGATGCCTGAACTGCAGCCCTATCATTTTTGTTAAGACACAAACAATCGGGCCTGTGCCAGGCCTGTGATCTGTCTATGGCATCGTCCAATATCCATACAAAGTACTACTGTTAAGAAGGGAACTGGCACAGTGGAGTCAGATTAAAGATGTAATCTATGAAGAAGCATCAATGCAGAATGCAAATCATTCTGCATGAAGGGTCAGACAGAGGGACAGTGAAGAAGTGGAGAGGAGAAAAGAACAAGTTAAGAAATGAGAAAAGCAGGTTGTTTTTTAGAGAAGAGGAGGAAATAAAATCTTTATTAAAATAGAGAAAATGTTACAGTCAAACATATAATGTCTTATTTATTACTTTTCTTTTTAAAAAAAAAAAATCTGTAACGGCTGAAAGTGTGAGAGAACACCATTGAAAGGCCACTATGTGGTGGAGGTGGACACACGGAACATACAATCGTTCATATCCATATTAGAAATAGTCTAATTGCAAAAAAATAGATATATATTTTAAAAAACAGAAGCTGCTTTTTTTTTTGTAGGATATAGGCTAGCGGTTATGCGGGAGCTGTTTAGGTGGCTTGGTCGAGTGCGCGCAGCAGGTCACTTCCTTGAAGCAGGTTTAGGTTCCCTTGCAGAGGGATGTTGACCTCGCAGTCATAGCGCGTCAGCTCAGGCAATGAGTAGGATTCAAACGAGGGGCCCAGCAGCCAGCTCACCATTCCTGCCGGGAGATGAAACCAGTTCGCCAGATTAAATTCAATTCAATTCAACTTTACTGTCTTTCAACTGACACAGGTGCATAGTATAACGAAAAGTGTTTCTCATTAGTCGCTCAGGTGCAGTATATAAATAGGACAGAAGATAAGACAATAGACAGTTACACAATAGCAATAACGGTAACATGTAATAACATAACATAAATAACATATAATCAAGTAATCGAAACTATGCAAAATTCCGCAAACAGAGAAAATTTAACAGGACCAAAACAGTGCAAGGTAATTCTTGGAACAGTGCAAAAAAAAACAGTATGGCTAATTAATAAATATTAAATATTATTATGCCTGTTACAATTTTACTGGGCTATCGAGGGGACAGTACAATTTTGGCTTACGTGTGTGTGTGGTGGTGTAGGAGTACAGTGGTTGTGAGTACAGGAGGATGTTAGGAGAGATCATAATAAGGCAGATCAGTATGTCATAAAGCACAGCTCATCTTTGGCTACATCTTGGGGTCGATAGCGGCATGGACATGATTATGCAGTTGTGATCTGTGGCAGTAATGCTGTCACAGGCAATGGGAGGTCTCGCCAACATGGTTCAACCTTGAAAAGTGCAGATGTCCTTTGTGTATGATTTTAAAATCCCAGTGGCACACTGTTAGCACATACTAAATCTGGCACAATGTCTGATTCCTTCAATCGTGACCACACTTTGTGGACGTGCTGTTATTATTTGGATCCTCGGCTCAGAGAAAGCTGCAGTCTCCTTTCAAATGTCAAAGGTCCTGCAGTCAATGTGGCAACGATGTCTCTCTCACCTTCTGTCCTGGGGGCTGGTGGCATGCTGTACTCTCGATAGCTGGTGCCAAAGAACTGGCCGGGAAACGTGACCTTGTGCTCAGTGCCCCCACCACCTCCAGAGCACTGTGGCTTCCTATGCTGGAGTGAGCCAAGAGGCTGATCCATGCCTCTTTGCAAACTGCTCAGCTTATCTGAAAAAGAGTACAGTGATTTGTCTGTGGAATGGGCAAAAATGCAACATCTTTCCTGACAGGATTATCAGCATACACAGTTTACATGCTGTAGGGATTTGAAAGAGATAGGAGTGTTGGAAAAAAACAAAGTAGAAAAATGAGTCAGAGTGCTCCAAGTCTCTCAGATTTTATTTTCAAAAAAGCACCAGATATAACATTCATGTAAAAGTTTTGGTGTAACTGAAAAAAACTTAACCAACCTGCCAAGGCAGGACCATTTAATCATGAGCTGTGCCAGAAACCCCTGAGGGGAGGATTCACAAACAGGACAACCAGGCTGGTTTATACTTGAGGAGGCAGAGCTACATTTTTTTTTACTCTTTGCATTTCTGTTTCATCAAGGTTAAGAAAAGTTCTCAAAGGCTTGTTCAAACTCGCTACTAGCGAAATAGGAAGCGTTATCTTTACCTACAGTGTTATTTTTGGGGCTGTCTACAACAGACAAGCCTGAGATACAATTTGTGAAACTGTACTAATTTTCCTTTCTCAGGGCAGTTGACAGCTTTTAGCCATGGATTCTCAGGCTTGGAAAAAAAAAATCATTCTGATATCTGATATTTTATGGGAGTCTGTTATAACAAGAATGTCTAGTTGTACCCTTGCTTTTCCTTACCTGTCAGAGCACTGGAACTCAGAGATTTCTTATCCATTAAAGCACAGCTCTCGGTCTTCAGATTTCTCATTCTCTTCCAGATCATTTCCGAGGGCGGGCCTTGTCCAGAGTCCTCCTGTGGTCAGACACAAGGACTCCTGTCACTTACACCTCCTGTTTCACATGTACATCCATTTAGTCAGAAATCTCTGACACTGGACTATAGGCAACCAATAGGTCATACATTTAATTACAACTAGACAATGATGTGGTTATTCTAGGTGAATGAATCAAGAAAGGCAAAAAAAAGCAACTTACCCCCGGCAGTGGCTGGAAGGGATGTTGCTCTGCGAGCTCCAGAAGTCTCTTGCGCTTGAAGCTGTTGACGAGAGCAATCCTTGAAGGGCTCATGTCTTTCTGTGGCTGGACAAAATTTTCCAGAGACCTAAACAAACATGCAGCACGGTCAAGCTCACTTCTAGAAAATATTTCAGGTGCCGTGAAGTAATTCACGTTTTTTAAGAAAAGAGTATTGTGAGATGTAAAGGACTGATAGAATAAAAAAATGTTTAAGCAATCTGAAAGCTTTCAAGGCAATGGCATGCTGAAAATGGTACAACCTGTCTAAATGCTGCAACAATGTAAGTGTACAGTACAAGAAAGTGTTGAAAGAGGAAAAAGCTTTTGTGATACAGAGGCAGATGGACAGTAAGTGATGTCTGTACCTTTGCTTGTACAGTGGCAGACGGTAGGGCGGGAGTGGCTGGGGGCCTTGGTTGCTAGGCCGGGTCTCTATCATGCTCCTCTTGCTGTGGGGGTACCGGAATGGGGGGTCGGGGGGCCACTGCAGGTTTTGCCTGCCACCCATGGAGGAAAGGGGGGTGCTCGAGGGGGTGTGGTAAGGGGGCATCACTGTGGTGGCAGGGTAAGGCAGTGCAGGGCGGGGGTCAGGTGAGGTCGAGCTGCTGTTCCTCTTCTCGGCGGAACAGAACTGGCCAGGGGGCGGGGAGCTCAAAGGCTGGAACAGGTTGGCGATGTTACTGAAGCTGTGATGGGTGCTGCTGGGACTGCTGTCTGGCAGGGGCACTTCATCCTGGCAGATGGGGTTCAGCTGAAAGTCTTCTCCATCCATAGGGATGTATGGAGCCAGTGTCTCCAGGTCCAGGTCACTGACCTCAGACTGCAAGCAGAACACATATAGTGAGTCAATAGTGTATAATACACCAGTCCAGTACTGGTTTTGGGGGGCTGGCGCATCTGCAGGTTTTCTAAATCTGCTTAAAGTACCAACATCCAAATAGGTGGGGGAATGTATTGTTATCGACCTGTTAATACAATCTAAAGCTCCTTTAGGACGTTAAAACATAAGCTGAAATAAATCAATGTAGACAAATAGACTTTCCAAATCCAGGAATGGACACAATTGAGATCTATATAAATATATGGAGAGGCACGGAAACCAGTAACACTTATTGTGTTTTTTATGCCTCTCAGTGCACCTACATACCAGACAGCATATGACACACGAGCTAAATAGACGGCCACTAAAACAGAAGCAGGAAATCTTGGCTCTTCCAAATCATGCCCCTGAAGGACTCTGTTCTAAGTAGTGTATAAATTATTTAAGTAGCTTTGAATTACTTAATTCACTCTGAATATATTTCTAACAATTAAGGACTGCATAGGGCAATGCCTTGCAGTGCACTGGAATGCAAGAGCCAAGATTACAGGTGCTAAACAGTCAGGAACAGTCAATGCAGTGTCTGCACTTCAAGATTTAACTACAATAAGAGCTGGACAAAGTGTGCTGGCTCCTTACATGCAACTTGGTAAGGTCCACTCATTAAACTCAGCTTTCTGCTTCACTAGATCCACAGGTCACTCAATGAAAAGATCCCCTTTATAGGTTTTGATCAGCACAGAACTGGGAATGTAGACGTCTCACTTCAGTGACCTGACCTGTGTGGTATATGGGCTCTTTGGGTCTGTGTCCAATGCAAACAGCCTCTCGGTGAGTTCCACCTTGAGTTCATTGTCCATCGGGCTGTAGTAGTCTCCAGGGCTGCTTGGCTGCACAAACAGGAAAGGGACAATGGCCTGTTACAAGGCTCAAAGGTCTTCTATGAGCAGCCCCTCTGCACCCCACTCTTTCTCACAGCAGACCGATCCCCATGGCTTCTCAGTTTCAAGGCTCTGAGGCCCTGTGGTCAAGCTGCTCACCTTCCCACCCAGCCTGTACCCTTCCCCTTCACGGCGAGAGAAGTGAAGGGAAAGTTCCACGTTCAGGATACACAGACAGCCGATAGTCTAGGTTCCCTAGAAAAAAGGTTTGCTGATACCACGCATCTCCTAGACCATCTCTTAGAAGCACATAAATAGATGTTCCTCTGCAAGGGAGAACATTTTCAGATTGTGTGAGGGTATTCACTGCAGTGGACCGCGCAGTGGTTTTCTTCTCAAACTCCCTCACCGTGGAGCAGCTGCTTGTGGTGCTGAGGCTGGGGGTGGTGCTGCCGGGGGGCGGCTGGGTTACGGAAAAGGCCGCCACGCTGGGCACCTCAGCCTGCACGCTGGGCTGCTGGGCCTCCACCGGCCATGTCTTGCTGGGGGGGGCCATGGCGGCCTTGCTGTACATCTGCGCCTCCTCGTACTGCGGACCTCCTGTCACGAGCACAGCACGCACACACACACAGGTCAGGACCACAGGCGTAAGCATTTCCAAAGCCCTGTGTATTGAAACAAGTGGCCCTGACTGATACCACAACTTCAACCAAACTCTGGGCACATCTGTATCTGACGTGGGTCACACAGGGTCTGATGAGCACTGTCACAAGAAAGGACACTTTCTCTGGGCAGGGGGGCCTACTCTTGTTAATACTGAATGTGTCTGCATAAGCTGCCATAAACAGAATGACAGTTGGTTTAGTGATCTGTGATAAGTAATTATAAAAGATATGTGGTACTAATAGTTAGAATTTTGTGGTATACTGTAGCTTTTGTTTTTTCCCCATAACATGAGAATTGCTAAACATTAAAGAAAATACAGCTCTTACTTTTATTATTAAATACTTCTGAATTATATACGATGTAAAGACATTTTTGTGCTGAGCTCTTGTTTAGGAAAGGAGAGTATCTCACAGTATCTCAGTGAGTGAGGCTGCACTGTATTGTCTGAGAATGGGCTGTGTTCCTGCTTAAGTGTTGACATGGTGGCACAGTCGAGTTTTTGAGAGTAGAGTTTTTGTGATGTGCAGTATTGTTTAGAGAGGTGAGGGATGTGCAGTGCTGTGGGAATTTGTCCAAGTCACTAGCTTGCTGGGCGGAGGTCTTGGGGGCGTGGTAATACTCAGCGACAGAGAGTGCACAGTGGTAATGGGAGAACCCTGACCGAAATCGAGGGCGATGATGGCGTCTCCAGGCGTGGGTGCAAGCTGGGCCAGATCCTCCGGCTCCTCCTTCAGCTTGGTGAAGAGCAGCTCGCTGGAGTCGCCCGCCGCCGCCCCATTGCTGAAGAAGCTGCCCATGCTCAGCACATGCGGCTTGAACAAAGACTCTGTCTGGTCCATGGAGAAGAGGACCAAGCTCTCCTCAATCTCACTGCAAGAAGACACAGCGGGTGACGACATTACACTTCGCACACGATTAAGGTGCAAAGGGAATTCTTAACACTTGTGATCGGTTTGATAAATGTTGTATTACAAAAAAACATGCTGATGTCCTCCACACATCTTGGTGATTGCATCATGTTTTTCACTGCTGTGTGGGTCACCCTGTAACCTACCTGAGCACGTAGTTGACGCAGACGATGCACTGAGGCTGGGAGTTGCGGCTGTTGTAGATGACAGTGCCCTGACTCTCCACCCAGACATACCCTCCGTGCTTAGCAAGCATCCTGTACTGCCCACTTATTGCCTGGCCCTTGGTGCACACTTGAGGAAGGAAGAAGAAACCAAAGATTACACTTTGTAAATATTTATTTACTAATTTGGCCTGCTAAGAGGCCAGCTCTGCCATTACAAAAGGGAGTGTGAGTGAAATGTGGAGGACAGCGTGGGAACCGAGTGGGTTAGCTGCACTTTGATTAACCACCAAAGGTTTGTTTGTTATGATGAGAGTTCAGCTGAAACTAATCCATATTTCTGCAAATTGTGATACTTCTCCCAAGCAAAATGGGGGAAAAAACATTTAAAGTGAACTGCAAAGGGGTAAAATCTAGAGCTGCAGAAGAATATTTTAAGAACTAATTTTTTACAGAAGTAAGTTCACATGATACACTTCCACTTTTTGTTTGCTAAATGACAGTTTTTTTAGTTTCAATTTTCTTGATACACAATGGCAGGGAAGATCTTACGTAATTGGTCTTTGTCAAGACGATGCCCTTAGGGAACACGTACATTCTTGGGCACAAAAACTGGTCCATGGTGGCAGACTGCATCCTTTATTTATGAACTTTTATTATTTATGAACATATGAAGGTCTTCAAATCTTCAAAGTCAATCCAATGGATTCCTGCATAATCAGTAGTAAACCACAAACCAAGCACAATACACGTAGAAACTATGGAAAGTGCCCATGGCTGTATTGCTGATGTCCTTTCTTTCTTCAGTAAGTGGGTGGATGGGATCCTCTTGAGCAATTAGGACCAAGCAGTATAGATCAACCATATTATTCTTCTCTTGTCTGTAACATTTCTCATGCTATTAACACTGAGAACAGAGCAGTCATACACCTGGCAGGAGGATGGTGGCCAGTAACGATCTTTGACGACTAATTCACTTTGGTCTGGTTTTCCTGTCTGAGGTGTCAGTTCACATGGTAAGCTACCTCAACCCTGACTTTACAATGAACCTGGCTTTATCCTGTAGTGTGGCAGTTATCACATTGAATACCAGTACCACACATGCAGCCACCAGAAGAAGTAATTGTGTAACCACAAATGGAACAAAAATAAATGTGAATATTAAGACATCACAAAGCCAACTGTTATTGAGCAAGATAAATTCACTGCTACTAAATTTAACACCGTTTTTTTTTTCATAAACGTAAAAGAAGGTAATTATCAGTAAATATCTAGCTACAGGAAAGCGGTACTCCAGACAGTCTCATTAAGCCTTAATCAGGTTGCTCTTGCAGGGTAATGACACCTGGCTGGAATACAGCAAGCTGTCAGCCTGGCAGATGTTAGGCTGTTATTTGTTCTGTCACAGGTTGAAGATAATAAGATTCAAGACATCTTAATGCAAGCTGGGGCTTTGCATAATAGTTCCAATCTAATAAGCATTCTTTGAATTGTATTCATAAATCATACATACATTTGAAATTTAATTTGGCAGCAGATATTGCCTTGGGTAAACAAAATGTCAATCTCAGCTTCAAAGGTCGTTTTTTTTGTTCATAAAGTCCTGTGTTTTTTGTTTGTCCATTTGGTAACAAATGCTTGCTTGTAGTTATGACCCAATAAAAAAAAAGACTACCCACTGTAGATAAGAGCAATGTAAAACACTTCAGAGGTATCAGTATAATACCCTTAAAACACATTGAAACTCAAAAGGCAAAATTGAACTGGGTCCCCCGTTTTAATTGGGAGACTCGCAGCAGTTATGGAATAAAATAAAATGAGGTCATCAGGTTCAAAAAAGATCCTAATAATTCTGAACTCTTGTACTAGAAGTTCCAGGCTGACCTACAGTACCTGAAATAATCTTTTGAATTTAGTTTAAGATGTCCCCGCTCAGAAGGCCTAATCGGATCGCACTCTCATTTTTTTTCCACAAAGCTTAACAAATAAGCATTAATTAGGCTTCTTTGCTGCAGTAATTAATGTATGGGGAATGGAAGAGCTAAGGCTGTCACGCTTCAGCCACTTGTTTTTCACCATGAGTAAATGACCACATGAGCTACAATGAGAAATTGTTACCAAATGAAAACAAAAGGTGAAAAAACCTTGGTTTGACTTTTGAGTTTCAAAATAACAATTGTATTGACTACTTAGAGGACCAGGATAGAGTGATTTATTCTTAGACTCAGCTTTAAAGTCACAGCAAGTATAGTATAAAGTACTCTTCCTCTGAGCGCAGATCTAAAATTCTATTTTCTCTCTCTCAGTACATTGCAAGACTTACCATGCTGCTAAAGAGATATGAATTAGCATGGGCACCTCAGAATATTTATTTGGCCCTCCTGGCTCCTTTGATAGTTTAGTACCTAAGTGAAGGAACCCAGGGTTTTGAGTGACCTGGCTTGAGAGCCTAACAGTGCTTTGCGTAAATAAGTGCTTTCTTTTATCCATACTAACTGAACTTACTTTTAGTTTCTAAATGTAATCTCATGTCCTTTTTTTCACTGTGGAGTATGAAGTAGTCCCACTTAGTCAAGACCAAGCCAGGGATAAGATTTTTAAAATGATTTAAAAATGAAAATATCACTTATCACTTACAAGCTATGTTTAGTTTCTTTTGGGTTTAACAGAAACCACAGATATACTGATGCAGGTGCGGAATCTGCATTAATTCTTTAGTTCTGCTTTTTCAGGGGAGCATCTGCAGCTGCAAAGAAATTGTGAGGTTTCTGGGGGCTGGCTCTGAAAGGGACCCTTAACCAGCAAGCAAGAGGAGGAGACGAGAAGCTGAAGGTAAGGATGCAAAGGGTTGCGCTGGACACTCACAGTTCTGGTGGCTCTTGGTCATGCTGTCTGAATCCAGTGCATGGTAGAACTCGTAGACTGACCGTCCCAACAGATCCTCTGGGCAGTACCCCATGAGCTCGGTCACTCTACAACACAGAGAGAGGTGCTATCAGGAATATAGTTCTGAATCTGTCAATCCGAATATTTTCAGGAATGCAGGAGAGTTCCGAATCCGTCAGTGCAAAATACACACAATTAGACAACACGGGCACTCATTTCAGTCCTGGGAAAAGATTCAGGTATGCACTTTTAACTTCATAGCTGTGCAAGCAGCCTTTCTGCAAATTAGATTTTTAATGGTTTAATTTATTAACAACCAGACATGAATACAAAACAAAATCCGCCCCCTGTACATTAACAGCCACTCCTGAAAAGAAGAAAAACCCCACAACAATGATATGAACAGGAAACAATTTTAATTTAATGTTTATATGAAATGTGTGAATTAGTAAAAAACATCTATAGTATATTTCATAAAAAAACGATAACAGATAACAGATATCACAAAATTCAGTTGAAAACTGACTGAATTTGACAATTTTGGTTCCAATTTCCAGTCAAATAAGATTCAGATTGCAATGATAAAAATTTATCACACCTCAGGTAGCTAAATATACATAAAAAATCTAACCCATGCAAACAAATCAAGGGTTTGTTTGCCTTCAGCCCTTAGTCCTTAATTAAGAAAAACTTCACTTTCTATGTCTTGTTACAGCACCCAGCTGGTATGAAGCAACCCTAATCTCCAAATTAAAGCCTTTAAATTACCCATCGTCCAATAATCTATTAATCTTCTAAAGTATGGGAAGATATTGCCATACTGCAATTAATTGATGTCCTGTACATTATTTTATAAAACAATGGTGCCCAAAACAACTTTCACTTCTGAATGTGTACTTTGAGTAGGTTTAAACAGAAATCAAATTCAATCCAGCAACCACTTGTGTCTGATGCTATCAGTTCAAGGGACGGTTCTCAGTCAAGCAAGCAGGCACTGTGAACAAACCAATTACTTTTTAGAAAGATAAATGAGCTTGTCACAGGATCGGTCCATTATTGCTAATGATGCCTGCTGTACCACATTGTAAACACATGAAATACTAGAGACCTACTGTATTCTTGTCAATAGGTTAGAGAGAAATCTATAAGGCTTTGTTTTAACAGCCAGTGGGACCACACTTTCCTTATAAATATAGCAATATAGCGGCCTTACATAACATTGAGGATTTACAGTAATGCAATACTCATCCCACGAGCTTATCTGGACTTTTCAGCAAAAGCAGTTTCAAAATGACTGTTAAAATGTAGAATAAGCTTCAGCTGGCTGTTCTCAACATTTGCAATGTGGCCCCATCACTAGCAGCGCAGAATTGTTAATTGTCAACTCTGAGTCCAGTAAAAACACTTTAAAAACTAATATTTCCGTTACCTTTTAGCCATTACTTAAAATAATTCGATAATTAGGTATTGGCTCACTCCCAGGACAAAATCCAGCCTGGCTTTGTGCATATTACAGAGTAATGAAAATGACAGATTACAATTTACTGACTGATGGAAAACAGCCATGGCAAATGGGTACAGTAGCTTCAACAACTCAGGCTGGTGGGAGCTATGTTGCTGGGCAGGATTACTGCGCTTTGATTTATAGTGTAAAATGAGCTCGGTCACGAGGCGCCCTGACGCATTCACATGAGCCAGGGCTCTCATCACTGAGCCCCAGCTGGTGAGAAGACACTTCCCTGCTTCCCTCACGACTGGCCAGGCAGGCGGAACAACACCTCTGTAACACGTCTGTTAGTGCAGTAATAGTGTTTTTTCCCCCATGCAAATGCATAAGTAAATGTTTACATCTGAGATGCCTTCCTCGCGGTCTGAGATTGACAGTGGATCATCGTCGTTTAGCTCTGTTTTCTGTCTTTGGTTTCTGTTTACATAGTTTATTCCAGTTTACATTTTTATTCCCAAATAAAGATACAGAATTCGGCAAAAATGTTAAAGAGGCATCAAAAGTAATATCAATTACTGCTGGAATGTGACCAATCCCAGAAGGAAAGGGAAGGCTGGGGTGTCTGTGGGCCACTTCTTCTTGGTGCCAATGACTGTGACCCTAGCCTGGCCTTTTCTGACACGCCATGCATCTGGACAAAGGCTGTGCCTTACAGAGCCTGTGCACTACACAACAGTGAAGAGCAGCAGTTTACAGTAGGTCTCTTCCATTCATATTTACACTTTCTAAGGATAGACAGGGTCAAAGATTTATTTTTTTACACTTTCCTCTTGATTATTTTTTTAAAAGGATAGAAATAACTGTTCCAAAACAAAAATAATTCCTTTACCATGTTATTCTGGCATTCTTAAAATGTTAAAACTATTAAGCCACATATAGCGTATAATAATTTATTCAGTACATCCATGAATAAAATAGGTTGGTCAGATCACAATATTAAAATGTTCAGCTTCCCCATACATAGAGTGTTGTGGTTTCTTTAGCTAAAACCAAACCAAAACCAGACTATAAAGCAGTGAATGGAGAAACACTTAAGCAAAGCAGTTTTTAGGTCCTGCGTATTTACAAAAACATAAAACAGAACAAGTGTCTGAGGGGCTTTGTTTTCAGTTTGGCACGATGATTCCTGCTGGCTGATCTGACTGATGTGCTATTCAGAAGCTGCTGTAATTACGACTGGCATAGGGCACGTTACATATTTTCATCAGGTCTGGGGACAAAGTGAGCAGTCACTGGATTTAGGCCAGACTAACACTACCTGCACAGCTAAGAGCCTCCAGGATCTCTACATCTGCTAGCATAGCTTACTGCATTTCCAAAGAACTACAGAGAATCATTACAACTAGTTTGCAGATCCTGCATTAAATTTAGAGATATAATTAACGTTAGTCAGAATTCGTTTTCTGTTGTTTCATTTCTGTATACAGCAATTGTTTGAAGAGTTCAAGCACATATATGTGTGTATTAATATGACATTAACACGTGTGAATATTATAGAGAAGTATGTCACATGCAAACAATCAGTATTTGTATTTTTGTACATTTGTATTTTTTATTCTGCTGTGTATATGCACAGCCTGTATTCACTTGTTTTTCAATAATGCAAAAACTGAAGTTGGAAAAATAAACAGTGTGATAAAAAATGAGAAACTGTCTTTATTTTTAGCTTTTAGTCGGTAAAAAAAATTGTAGTGAAGAAAATCATTTTACAGGAGTCTCATAACTGTCCAAGCTAATTAAATGTGGCTCAAGAAAAAAATCTGTAGTCGTCCATAAAAGACTCAGCAAAATTGGTTTTGCTCCCATGCACCAAACAAGTTTCATATTTTAATCTAGGCTTGTCATAAAGCCTGAACATGCCATTTGTTTTTTCTTTCAAGGAAGAAAAATGTCAGTTGTGTTATATGATGAGTGAACTCTATACTTTTTACAACAACGGAAAGTTATGAGTGTTTTCTTTCTGCTTAAGAAACAGCATTTCCTTTGTTTAAACCATTGAGGAGTTGGCCAGCATTCCAATGTCTGAGACATTTAAGGGTAAAAAAAATGACAATTATTTAATAAAATATTAAAGGCTGATGAAAAGTTTTAAAGTTTTTGAACTTTTGAATATTTCCTCAACTGTAGTCCAATCTGACAGTTTACTGCGACTTACATTTGAAACCATTTATACAGCTTTTACTGGAACAATCTACAGTAGGTGAAATGCCTTGCTCAAGGGAACAACAGCACTGTCTCACTTGAGATTTGAACATCACCAGCCTTCCAGTTACAAATCCAGAACCTTAACCACTGCTTCACACCACAGCCCAGCAGTTCTTATTGAGTTAATTCAAAGAGCAACTACACAGCAATTGTCAGGAAAGAATTAAAATGTCAGGTGGGATATTTCATAGGCTAATAGGTTATGGCACTTACTCTGTGAAATGTAAACGTCCGTGGCTTAAAAATTTTTTTCTTTAGTGAATCAAGTATAATAAAGAAATCAGATAGTGTTTTTTTCATACAGATCCTAACCACACTAGGCAGGTGGATGGTTTATCCAAAAGATCTTTTCACTGAAGGCAACCAGTCTGAAGTTCTGAATTATTTCTAGTTCACATTGTTTTATCACAATCTTATAAATGTGTAGGTTATATCATACTCTATTCAAGTAGGATGATCAATGGAGCATTGGAACTTTAAAAAACTGCGAAGAGTACTGCTGTGCAGTCTGCACTTCCAAAGAAGTGCAGTTCGCACTGTGCACACTGTGTGTTGTTCTGCAATGATGGATCTGCTTTGTGATGGCCACATGCCTCACCTGTCATCGCAGTAAGTAAACTTCATGTCCATGCTGTGACGGCTCAGGAAGGTCTTGCTGTCCAGCGGCATGTCGATGTTGGAGGGGTGTGGGATCGGCACGCACATCATGATCACACAGGTCAGGGGGGGTTCTTTGAAGCCACACAGCACATGAGGGGGGCAGCTGTTGTACACCTTGAGGTGGCCAGTGCAGTGCAGAACCTGAGAGACAGGGCTAGATATGGAATTACTGGAGTACTAAATAACAGAGCTTACCCATAACAGGAAGCATACACTGCAATGTGATGCAGGCAGGAGCAAAAATATTAAAGTACTGGCTTTAACAACATCAAACTAAATTTACATCACACTGTACTCCAGGGGATCCATAAGCAGCTGTAGTGGAGCTTTCTAGGTATTTGACAAAATTTAGTTTAATCCAAGTTTTCAAGAAAGCGGTAGCAATCCAACTTTGTACCCAGAAGTTAAGCAACATGGGACCTGGTCACTAATGTGTTGGGAGAATGCAAAGGAAAATGAGGTTGCTGCTGTGAGTGGTTTTGATAGATCAGTAGGTGGCACTCTATCCTATGCTCCAGAATTTCTAAACCAATCCCACTGTACAGCCACCATAGACACTGTGCTGCTCCACAGAGGCAATGTCCTTCAGATGAGATTTTAACCCAGATTTTGACTACCTGGTCATGTAACATCCCTTGGCACCGTTTGGAAAAGTAGATGTTAGCCCAGATAAAATTTGAGTTTGAGCTTACACAGTCTGACCTCTCTGAATTTCTCCCTTAATCCAACAGGTAAATTCTCATTTCTCCTCCAGTCGGCTATGTACAGGGTCTGCTGGCGCATAGTGGCTGCCACACATCACCCAGGTGGTGCTACACACCTGTGGTGGGTGTAGTGGGTCCCCTCCCAAAAGGAAAACCCAAGGGGAATCCTTGGGAAGAAAAAAACAAAAAAAAAGGAAAGAAAAAATTTTAATAACCCAAAAAACGGAAATATTTTTTTTTAAATGGCTCTGGCAGAAGGGTGATCGTTGGACATTTTGTGTTGCGGCGTGGATACCTGTCCAGGTTGGTAGGCATGCACACAGCAGGCACAGGACTCTTACCTTCCAACTGGCAGACTTGAGGTTAACAGTGCGCCCTCGGCTCGTCACTGTGCACTTCATCCTCATGAAGAAATCCCTCTCTGTGTTTAAGTCCTTGTTCTTTTTGCCAAAGCCTTGGCCTATGGACAAGATTAGCAAGCATTTCATCCCGGCTTTTCCCCCCTCATGTAGCATAATCATCTTACACCAGTTTAATTCTCTACCACCAGGACTTTTCCACCACAATGTATGTTGTGTTAAGCAACCCTCATAATACCATCAGAAAGGATACAAATGTGAGAAGGCCATTAAGCCCATTTGATGCTTCACTGAAAAAGTGTATGAACTGAAATTAAATCCCAATGTATAAGTTTGCAAGCGTTTTAGAAGTCAGTAACCGTCATGAACAGAACTGCGGGCAAGTTGTTAAACTTTGTGGTGTGCGATGGAGATCCTGTGTGGAAACTGCAGTGTGAGCAAAGCATATGTAAAGGTTACGGTGGTTTTTCTATTGTGAAAAATGCAGTTGCTTTTTCTAGTTATTCAAAAAGAGAGGTTTTTTTTCTCAACCATTCTTCCCATTCAGACATTGCTGACAAATTATTGCTTTATACTGTAATACTGAAGTGAAATTTCGAATTTGTTCCTTTCCAAATAAGGCAAGAGGGAGGTTTGCTCTTGTATCCACACTGTTTTCAAGGTTTATTTCCAACTGCAGGATAAGACAGGCTAGATAACTAGGGATTTCTCAGTCCAAAGGGCAGCGATGAGACGGTGACATCATTACATCCAGGTTCTACAGAAGGCCTGTATAAAAGTAGCAAAGCTAAAGTGGTGCATTAATTCAAAGTTCATTCTGGAAATACGTCATCTGATGAAAACAAGATAATGCTCTCAGTCAGTGGAACAAACAGCATAAAACCAGGCAGATCATTTAGCACATAACAGGTTATAAGAGATAGCTGCAGGTAAGCAAAATAATTTTTTTTTATGGGCACTCAAGCCTGATATATTTGCAGTAAGTAAATCTGAATCTCAGTTATTTTATAACAGAGCAAAACCTTATAATAAAAAACCCCAACATTAAATGCTTATTAGCTTCTTAACCTAATTTGTTTCACCTTCAATATGTGATAACGTTATCAGTCTGAGAGTGCAATGTCCATTCTCTGCCATGGAAAATACTGTGGCGGGAATGCCCTTTCAATAAAACTTCAGATTCCCAATTTGAACACTTCAGTTTAGTTAACTGCGCTTCAGACAATGAGTTAATGATTCCTCTCAGCGTTGTGGATGCTCCCGCAATATAAACAAATGGGAAACCGCATCTGTGACACTCAGCTCAGGATGCAACCTGCACTGTCGAATTCCAGATTTGAATGTGTGACGTGATGGGTCATAAAGCATAACGCTGATCTGGGATGGGAAGCAATGAGGTGTCAGTACCTGGTTTGAAGCTGAGGTTCTCCCGGATTTCGTCATGGTCGCAGGGGTGAGTGAAGTCAAAGATGCTGTGTCCTGTCAGCTCCACCTGGGGAAAAAAAAATCAATCACTGCTTCTTACCAATGAACGTTCTACCTCGGCACCAGGCACACTCCCCCCTCCCCCAGCAGAAGCCCAATGTTCAATACACCAAACAAGCCAATGGCTCCCCTCTCTTTTGAAATCGATTTCACTGCATGAAACTCAGAATGGATTAAATTATTTAAGAAATTGCTTCAACACGAAACACAGGAAACACGACAAATTTGATGAACCAAAAAATAAAATATACAAATAACATATTAACATACACAAAATTTAGCAATGACAACTCAAATTAAAATGATCTCATTTAAATTATCCCAGTGAAGACTAATTTGTGGTAAAAGAAAACAGTAACACAATAGGGATGTGAAAAACAGTTTATAAATACATACACTATTAAGAATAATATGATAATTAATCTGATTATTAGTATTTAATACTGTAAATAGGCTGAGTATTATTTTCAGGTGTACCTCTACAGGAATGACTGCAGCATTTTTATCATATTTACAACAGAGTATTAGGAAATGTCGTGAACAATGCAACAGGATTTAATATTAGACGTGCAGACTACTTTCAGTTTAACAATTCAAAGTTATGTTAATTTTGTTACGGACTCTGCAAACCTGAAGCTTGTCAGCTCAGTGAACACACCTGTGTGAGGCCCAGGAATTTGTTGATGTTCTCAGACAGGAAGATCATGTCCCCGTCCTGGGTTACCACAGCAATAAATCCATCCAGAGCCTTCAGGTACAGGCTGTCCATCTGTCTGTCTGCCTCACTCACATTGTCAGGCCAAGCTGCAGAGAGACATCAGAGACTGACTCAACACCTTACCAACACCCACTTCACTGAAAACCACTTAAGCTCTTTTAAGAAATTAGAATCATCAATTTGAGATTAAATGGCTACAGTACACCAAGATGTAACAGAAGAAAGTGGAAACAGATGGGCCAAACACTGGCAGAGATTACTGTTCATTTGCCTGCGTTAAGGGTCCAATTGGAAGATGCTGCAGGGTACCCCAGCTGTGGTCTTTGTGTGCATGTACAGTATGGATGTATGAGTCTACGTAGAGGGAGGAGGGACAGTTGAGTTGTTTGCTCATTTTTCAGGCCCTGGCTCTAGTCCAAAACAAACCAACTAGTCCTCATCCTGCTTCTCTGTGAAAACTCCCAGACTCCTTGACCTTAACACTGACGTCTCCCACATTTTTTTGCATTTTGTTTCGTCTGTTAATTATTTATTTTTTGAAAGCATTGTTTCTTTGACAAATAGGTTAGAAAAATAAGCAATTTCCAACAGCTGTCGGGACAGTGGGCCTTCTTTTGTGAAGTTGGGCTGGGGAAGGGAGCCTTTTGTTTCTGTAAAGAGGTGAAGAAAAATCAAAATGTAAAAGCCGCTTTTAAAACTTGCGAAAAAGACGCCTCTTTCTTCCCCCACTAGAGTGTTGAAAATAAATCTATACTGAGAATTATTTCCACCACAAGAGCTAAGCTAGCATTGTGAAAGCAACCTGTGATTCCCCACCCCAAAATACATACCATAATTTCTAAACATTTTCATGAACAATAAAATACAGTGATAAATAACTTTTTTCTCAGGGACGGCAAAAACTCCAGAGTTGGACGGTAAACAGAATTAGTTTATTCAGAGCTTACCATCTAATGAGCTCTAAAGATATGTTTCAATTTGGGATTCTGAGTTGGTTCATTTAGACAGTATTTGTGTTTTGGGGATTTCTATCCCCTTCCAGAAACAAATCTTTTGTCTTCACCGGTTTAATTGGGAGGACTGTAGCTTTTTTTGCCTAATTATATTAATATTACTTTTAGACAGTTGGGATGGTTTGTCTTTGTCAAAAAAACAGTGCCTAAGAAAAAAACAGGCAATCACCCCTTTAAACACACCAGTTAACTGCTCTCAAATTAATTTGTTTTTTGTTTCTGCTGTTAAAAGGGCACAATTGCAAGACAATATATATATATATTTTAATTATGCACCGTGCCGAGTATTGTTTACATGAACATGTCTTTGTGACAAAAATAGCACCTATAAACAGGCTTTGATTAATAACGAGCAGCAGGATGTGCCCTGTGCTGATCTTCGGAATCCAGCTTCCTGTAGTAAGTGGCCTTCCCTGTGTGTGTCACCCGGATTAATCCTCAAACTCTTTAAACAGCTGGGATATTAAAAATCAAAAGCATAACAGAACATAGGACAAATACAAGCAAAAATAACTTTTTTAATGGGAACACTGAAGTGACTCTTTAGACACTTGGCTCTGATGCAAAATATTTACTGAATTTGATTGGAAAATGTTGGCCAGCAGAATGTGAACGTTTTTAAGTAAAACTTAAATAAGACGACCTATTGAATGGTGTGCATACAGCATTTAAAAAATGAATATTAGCATACAAATACTTATACAGAATTAGTACACCCAGAATTTGTTGATCCCATCTCAAAGCTACGTTCGAGAAAGTTGTCAAAACCTATATATCATTTTCAGGTAGTCGCAACTTTCATCACTCTTATTTCAAAATTCTCAATTTTTTTCAAACCAGGACAGTGTAGCACATCACATTGGGAGAACGGCACTGATTCTGAGAGAACGTGACCTGCACAGTATGTTCTCCCAGTAATCATTCTGGCCTTTCAAAAACAGGGGCACAAAAGTGTTGTAGTGGGGGTACTGCATCTTTTAAAGATTAGGGTTCAATTTACATTAGTACTGTAGCATGTTTCAGATCTGCAGACTAAACTGTAATCCTACTATTAGGTCTGTTTTCAAGGTACTACTGTTTTCTCATCATGTAATCTACATTAATAGCAGTAAAACGGTGTCAGTGTTATTCTGAGAAGTAAATGAGGCTTTTTCAACAGAACAATAGTCTGACCATTAAGAAAATGAAATGTCCATCTGAGATGAAGGATTTCAGGTTTGGTGGAGGTTGCAGGAAAGAGCACAAGAGTGTACATCGGACTCTAGACTGAGGAATACCAGTCCATCCGGGTCTGACTGCTGGGGACGGACTTAAGAAAGTGCTGCAGAGATTCAGCACAGGGGCTGCTCTCTCCTGCCATCTCAAGAATTGCAGGACAGCGGGCAGCAGAGGAGTGCAGGTGCGAGGTGGCTGTGTTTATGAACCAGCCGGAAAGACATACAGCGAGTACACAGCCACACGGCGCCAGGGCTGTGCTGTGTTTTGGCTTGGCTGCGACTCAGAGGGCTCTTCTCACGACAATCACCAGCATTCTCCCCCAGCCTTCCTGATCGCTGCACTCCCTTCCAATGACATTGCTCCAGGGCTTCAGATAAACACAATCTCCCATCTCCACAAACAATCTGCCAGCGCATCGGGCTGCTGCAGCTCTGAGGGCTGCCCACAACAGGAAAATAAGAAAGCCAGCAAAGCAAAGCTGTTTTGCTCTCCCTTTTCTCTCCTCTCATTTTCTTTGTGCAATATTTGCATTGCTTTATCTAATCCACTTTACAAACATGTTTACTTTGCATGGCATGATGCCTGGGCAAACACAAGAGTGCCTGTAATGCACTGGTGGAAAGTTACAGTGGCCAGCGTGACATCCGACGTACGGTTACTAACTTTAATGCTGATTTCCATCTGAATAACTTTCGCATCAAGTGATGTTTTCTTTCGTAGTTTCTGCAGGGTTTATTTGACCTTGCATTATTGCAAACCCAAAATTAATTCCCACCCGAGCTTCAGCTAATATATACAGTATATAGGTCAGGTGGGTAGCTGCGTCAGCATGCGTAGGCTGCAAAAGAACAAGTAATAGGTTTATTCCATGCTGAAAAGAGAAGAAAGAAAACACAATGTTTCAGCCGTGGAGCCGTGGAAGAAGGCTCCACAGCTGAAACATTGTGTTTTCTTTCTTCTCTTTTCAGCATGGAATACACCTATTACTTGTTCTAATATATATATATAGTAATATATTGCGTATCATAATAAAAGGCACTTGTTTAATTAAAACGATTGACATAAAAAACCCAAATCACGTCACAGGTTCAGAAACAGAATTGTAAACAGGAACATCGGTAAAAATGTCACATCACAGCAAAGGAACATAGTCTGACAATTGACACGCAAGGGAGACTTTTGGTAGGCCATGGGCTGAGAGGACACGCAGCAGTCACTGCTTTTTTTAGCACTGTCCGAGCGCAGACGGAGGAGGGTAATGCTAAAACAATTACCAAGCCTTTGTCTTACTTCCTCAGCAGCTTATCTCATCATGACCTCCAGATCAGGAGACTTACTGTACAGTACATGATGAGCAACTTCTTTGTATCTGGAAATCTAAGTTGGTGGAAAATTATCATTTGAATCTGGACAATAGTTCTGGCCTCAGCCATTCGACCCACAGCACTCTTCAAAGTACAGCAAGATCCAAAGGATTCCCATTTTGACGGAATCATTTTTCCTTCTTTAAGTACAACTGTTCTCTTCCTTTTGGAGAAAGGAGCCCCGGGACTTCTGTGTAACAAGGTGTGCTGTCAGCTCTGATTCTTTTCTCTGCATTAAATTATCATCTTTTGTAATGTCTCCTGACGCATTTCTTTGAGGTTTAAATCTGAATTGGTTCATTAAGAGGACAGAGGGTCTAAATGACCTTTTCCCTCCTGATTTTCCAGATCATAATGCTTTCATTTCAGGATTAAAACCCCAGGGTAAAGCATGTGGCATCCCAATATTTAGTGATATGATTATAGTGCGAGAACAATAAAGCTGTTTTTATTTGTGTGAAAAAATATCAGGAAGATTAATGTTGAAGTCCAGTTATTACATACTAATCACTATAAATTCATGTGGCAGTTAGTATAATTTATAAGGAGACAAACGGAGATATCAATTTGTACGTTTCCCAATCTAGTGTCCTGTATGAGTCTTGGTTAACCTTTGAAATTAATTGCATTTTGAGCAATAAAGTATGGGCAACAAAGTGTTTTTTTCTGAATCCCATTGCATCATTTGTAAAGATTCACCAAGCATTTGATCTGCCACTTAACATTAAGGTTTGTGTATTAAAGAGGAAAGCCAGCACAAAACAAACCTTGTCTTGGAAAAACACAGTCCAGCAAGTCTAACGGATTACCCTTCAACCATCAATTTGTAAACGGTTTGAATCTATAGGTTTTGATCAATTTGTGAAGTAACTTTGATCAGGAAGGGCCGGTAGTAGAAACCTGGCATTTCTAAATCGACATCTTAGTATGACCATGGGCACAGCAGTGTGCAAGTTGTGCCATAATGCATCAGTAAAAATACTTCTTGCCTTCTTGCACTGGAGGTTGGTGGCTCAGGACGGTATAGTACTGTATAGAGGACTGATTTTTCAGATTGGCTCAGAAGCATTATAGAGATATCTATATGTCATGCAATAACATAATACATTCTGAGCCTCAGATAGGAATAATTTAGGGTTTATTTTATTTATGTTTTGCAATGATTTCCCCTTTAAGTATTAAGCTCCGTAATCACAATTTGAGCAATACTTTGTGGTAAATCTGTCACAGATTGATGTGGATTTAATTTCCCATAAAAAATGAAAAAACAAAACAAGAAGCTTCTCTAAATATTAATAATGACTAAAAGTTAAACTTGTTACAAGGTACTGTTTAATAATGAAACTGTTATTGCTGAGGGAGCAGTTTAAGGTTTAATATTTGACACGGACCTCTTCAAAAATAGTTCCTAAAATGGCAGTGATAAAAGGTCAGCTTCCATGCAAGAATGCTGAACAAACACTAATGTGCAAAATTATCTTTTTCTAAGTCCTCTCCAATTTCTCTGCCATGAAACTGTGTTGTCTGTACATACTTTTTGTATTTATAAGCCTGTGTACAGCATGGGGAATTATGCTCACAATATGTAGGTGATGACATTTCACTAAGCAAAAATTGTGTCTCTTGCATTATTGACGTTGTAAAACTGTGGGAAGAAGAGTGGACTGAGCGAGACTTCTCTCCTTACAGTCATTCATACAAGCAGAAAATGAGCACATCTTGATTTCCACGTCCTCTACTTAACGTGGAGGAGAGGAAACATGAGTCCAGGTGTGGAAGGACCAGAAAGAAAACAGCTGATGAGTAGACATGCTAAAAAAGACTTGTATTGCCTTACAGCTTTTCTATTTTTCTAAAAAGAAAAAAAAGCAACTTATTTTAGATTTGAACAGCACACACTCTTCATGATCATATAAATCAGCACCCGAAAACAGCAGCATTCAAACCATGGGTACCAGTTGCCACGCTTCTGGAACTGCAGAAAAAACTGAGTTTTGCAATTTCTTAATATCTAAGCAACTGACTCAGAAAGTACTTTTTTCATTACTGTCATTGTAAAACTTTTCAAACTTGTAATCAAGAACACCGGGACATTTCATAGCAGTATCCCAGCTCTCCCAGGTCATTCAGATTCAGGCCTCCTTAACCTTGGGGCGAAGGGGTGAGAGTGGTACACTGTTATTGTCACCTCCCTGCTGCTCTCAACAAAATCAAGTCAAGAATCCCCTTGTAGGGGTTCAAGTTCTCCACAGCAAAGATCAGGGTTCACTAGACGAGTAACAGATTTGTCACAGAAGATTAATGCTCTTTTTGAAGTCTGAGATAGTATCTTAAAGACCTCAAGGCAACCGCTGAATATCTTAGTTCGAAGTATGAGAAAAAATATTAGTTTTTTCCTCTCGTGTTAAACTAAAGGGATTTCAAATCTGATACTGTATACATTTTACTGATTTTTAATTAAACCATTGTTACGTTTAAACATTGCAATAAGTTACCAGTAAGTGAGACAACAGATAAAACAGAGATAAATGAGAAACAGAAGTCAAATTGATTAATTTTCCCCACATCATAAATAAAGAGAAATTCTCTGTACTCTTGCCCTTATACTGTATGTTACTTGTCCAAAACTCTGATAATTCATACAGTATGAAGAGGAACTGTCTACTATAAGCTACAGAATTGGTCCCAATTAGAAAGTAAAACACGAGACCCAAATGTGGCAAAAGCCACAGAACAGTGAAAAGTAATTCAGATCCGTGAGTTTCACATCTCTTCACTGACTTCCCTGAATTTACCCTGTCACTGCAAGCTTTGTCATTTGCTCAGGTTCTCTACACTCCAGTTTGTGGGTCCTTTTATGAAAGACGCAATGACAGCTGCTGTCACTAGGCAACTCTCACCAGTGTGATCTGATCATCATTAGCAGGTTTATCATGCTTTACAACTGTCCCTTTACAACACACAACTCAGTCGGCCATTCTGCTCATTAAAGTTACATAAATGTGTACAATATAATTAATTCTGATTTTTCAGCACTGGAATCAACAAAAGACAAAGTCACTGGATTGCCCTATGGGCAAATCCCAGTTCCCACCCCGCTAAGTAACATTTCCACAGAGCTCTTGGTTCGTGCACCAGATTGATGTTGGGTTTCATTTGAATGTCCACGTCATCAAAATCAGACAGAATGAAGACCAAAGACACTGGAGGACAGGTGACAGAACACACAAAAGAAGGTTGTGACAGAAAGTTTTAGTCAATTTGATTTCTGACAGACTTCAGCATTCCCTGTACCCATTATACTCATTACAAAGGGGTGCATAACTCAAGATTCATTGATGGCTGCAGTCTCACAGATCCACAACTTAGGATGAGAGAAATCAGTTACATTGATCCTATTTATGCTATTTGTTACACCTACTGTAAGTGCTTTGAGATATTACCTTTTATTTAACCCAATACTTAAGGCAACAGGTTGTGAAAAATTCAGCACAGAGGCTTTTAACCCTTTATATTCCTTATCATAAGAAACTCATATTCTGAATGTACAGTACAATACAGGTCTTACTGGAGGAGAGAAGTTTGCGTGTCCTGAGGAAACTGATGGTCAGCCGCATGATAGAGGCTTTGTCCAGGTGAGAACTGACATTGTGTGGCAGGGGCAGCTGGTGGGCCAACTCATAGAACACCTCCGTCTCCTTGCTCCTGCGGCATCTCGCTGCATCCCGGGACTTTTCCTTCCGGCGCTCGGAGCTGCTCCTAGGGGGAGATGCACAGAGACAGGGCTCTTGTAAATCGCTGCTTTTACAGCTTTGCTTTTTAGCGCATGGAAGCCAGGAATAGCTCGGAAGAGCTGTTTCTTGGAAATATCATGCATGCGCTCTATACTGTACATGTCCAGCTTCAAAGCCAGCAGATAGAACATTTGAAAGACAGAAAATGCTTTTCATCTGTTATGCTCACAATTATCTTACCCAGCACTCTTAACACAAGTGAATGCACAGAACAAATGGACTTAACACAGTAGTTTTATTATTCTAAGGTATTGTTCACATCCTCTTTAAAAATGTATTAAAGACATTAAACTCAGTGTTTTCAAGCCCACCTGATAACAATCACACAGCTTTAGGTACTCGTTCTAATGGGTTCTCACCACAAACCAGGCTTTGTATTAAATAGGGCAGCTGAATGTTATTGTGCCAGTTACTCTTTCACCATCTCAACTTTGTTTCTCATGTGTTCAGAGGTTCTCGCTAAGTATAAATAGGGCGCATTCTCATTTGCAAATGTGTATTTCATGTGATCATATCGGACTGCAGAACAGGCGACCTACACTTTCAACAGCACAGAGGGTTTTAAGCTGTTTATCTTTCCTTCACAAGTGTGCCGCTTTAGATACAAATACATCTAATGAATAATGAGGAACTTATTTTCAGTGTCATCATTTAGCAGCGAGACATCTACAAGCTTCTATGCAGCCTCACTACAAGCCTAGCATCATATGAGCAATGGATAAAGTACCTTGAAAATACAAAACAGTTGAGATTGTCACATTCTCATAGAAACACAATTTCCTTTGGCTCATTTCTATATTTCTTTCAAATCAAGCTAGTGTCTAACAATTATTTAAACTGATGCTGTACTTTACATTCTTGCCATTGTAATGCCATGTTGATGTTCATATTGCTACAGTATATTACAATATGTGGTAAACAAATGGTTAAAACTAATAGGGGTACTGTGATGCAAATGTGATTTCAACAGACAAGGGCTCCATTTTTCATTCAGATTGCAAGGCAGATAAATCCTCTCACTCAATTTTGCAGAGCCTAAAAGCTACATATACCACAGTCTCGTTTAAGTTTCAGTAACATGTGCTGACTTTAGCAATATTGCTGCACTTAGCCACACATTAGTGGTATATAAGATGTTGAAACAGAAAGCAAAAGCCCATCTCCTCTGGTGTTTTTGAGATTTCCTCACCAATCCCATTCTGCTATCTCAGTGAACAAAAAAAGGTGATCACATTTTTGGCTTTGTGTCTACCTGCTTCTGACAGGCAATCCTCTACTTACAGTACAGACCTGGAAAATTCTGGACCTGAATCACAGGCAAACAAGCCTACAAATAGAGGTCTATTTTTAAAAATGCACAAAGGCTGCGAGATAATTCACTTTTGAAGTTTCTTGATCATAGAGCGCTGGTAATGAAAGAGACAAAACAAATAGGCTTATATAAGAGTTCATCACTCAGCAGCAGCATGCCTGAATGAAATGCCTTATTGGCTCACAGCTTAGAAAATTAAACTTAAATATCTGCTCGTACAGTACAGTTTAGACCTTGCTAAGTAGTTCAGCAATAATTAAACTCCATTACCTAATTTCTCTTCGTTATGTAAAAGAAGCACAAATTGCACTGCAACTTTATTAGACTTTTATTAACATAGAAGAGAGGATGACTTCTAGGGACTTTTTGTTTTAATATCTAGTAGCTATCACTCTGTTCTAGAGGAGCCCAATCCTGGTTCTGGAGGGCCAGTGTATCTGTTGGTTTTCATTCCAGCTCAGCTCTTAATTTGATAAACCAGCTGGATACTGGGCCAACTGAACAGTTTCACCCCACGATTCCGGTGCTACTGTTTTAGAGAGATCTTGAAAACCTGCAGACACACTGGCCTACAGGACCAGTATAAGACACCACTGCTCTATAGCAGGAAATCGCTTTGAGCTCACGCAGATTCAGCATTTACAATGGAAGTGTGTAGTGTTGAAGTTACACTGTTTGAATATCAATATGAGTTCTTCTGATCTTTTTTTAATTGTTTAACGTCTCGTAAGTGTTCAGTGTAACCCTACGAAATTTTGCAAAAAGAGAACAGGATCTCATTTAGCCTGTGACCTAATAAAGAATTGAAGATTGAAGAAAAGTCCCAGTTCTAATTGTTCATCGGCTTGGGGACTGTTGAGATTGTTGTAAGTTGTTTTTGGTCCTCTGCAGATATTCCGTACAGAAATGATAAAGTAAAAATTTGATTTGTATAACAGACTCCACACACTACACACCCATTACCATTCTCATGGGTTAATTCCCACTTTAATCTTTTTATTATATTCTATTATGCTGGCTCGCAGCTTGACACAGGGTGAAAGTAATCCTTAATCAATATTTCAGGCAATTTTAGATTCAAACTGTACCACATTGTCATCTTTGTGGGAACATTTTCTTGTGTTTTACCCTGACATTCACAGGTTATCAGGCCCCCAGAGCTACCATAAACAGTATGACATCACAGGACTCTGACAAGTGTATACAAACAGAAATAACACAATTCCCTCTGTTTTAAAAAAATGGCACAACTGTTTCCTCGCCTGATTTGTATATGTAACTGTTTGCTTTCTTGAACAGCTATTTGGGACTGCCACATGTTGTCTTCAATCGAAGAATGACTTCAAAATAATTCTTATCAAAGAAAGAGAAAAGTGAGTTTGATGGAAAACTAATTTAGGTGAACTACAAATTTTGACATTTTTTTCATTCCATGCTCGCATTTAGAATTCAGTGTGCTCACAGATTTATATACTCAAACATTCAGTATATATAGTGTAAAAACAGACGGGCAGATTTATAAATGTAATTTCAGTTTATTAAATTAAGCATATCGCAAACGAAATAAATATTTTATGTTCCAAATAACACTTCTAAATCAGAAAAATTGATATGAAGTTGAAAACTCCAGTCACAGTGGTATAACCAGATAGCCCACCAGAGCTGTCTACATCTGTCCCTCTATTCAGGCAGAGGCTGTAGTCAGCCAAATAGCAATGATCTGACCACACGATGGAAGAATAGAGCAACCGTGGAACAGAACTCAAAGCGATTACAAACTTGCTCCAAAAACCAGCAAAATGTAAGATGTTGTTTCTGCAATAAACTGTTGAAATCAGCAAGGTTAATGAGTCTTGATACATTTTTCGATAGTAAGATTGTGTGCATTAGCAAAATACCTAGGACACTGAAAACTAAACTGCTGATCACTAGGCTTACAGGTGCAGCACAAACAGTCCACTATGTTGCAGACATTAAAGCAATCTGCTTATACAGTAGCATCAGATTATAAATGGTTCTAGCTATAGTAAGATACTGATCTCTGGCACAGCCAGGTCTGAACTTATTACTCTAATCTGACTGACGGTGGTCCACAAGTAAGGCCCAGCGTGATTTTCTGTTTGAGAATTTGATTTCTCCATCTTCAAATGTGAATTCTCTTTCACAATTATTCCATCAATGTAATTTTCCTGTCTACATTACTATTCCAATTTTACTTTAGAACTGAACATTTGTATCTGAGATCACCCCATTCTCTTCATGTGCTATCCTCCCGATCATGCCAGTGGGTGATCCAGCCTTCAAAGCAATGCACAGTGTAAATGTAATACCCTGCATGCAAAAAACACAAGCAGTGTTCATTTTCAGCAATGGAGATAATCGAGATTGTTACCGAACCTATGGAAATAAAGAAGTATATTATGTCTTAGTCTTATCACACTTTGCACTAGTAAGTGAGATAAGGACAATTTTGGCTTTCTTTAGCAAGTTTAGAGAGTTTAATTGAGATGCAGTAAAAAGCTGACCATCATACAGTTGGGGTATGGGGTATAACTTTGGTATACAGATAGAAGAGACATTTAACACCTGATGCACACACAGCACCTGGCAAGCAAGTTATGTACAGTACCACTCCTCCAAACTGAACTGTCTCAAAATGTCACTGCAAAACTGTTGGCACACAGCAAGTCAGAGTCAGAGTTGACTAATCCAAACCCTACCCTAGGTGACTGTGATCAGGACCTTGGGGAATCCTGGTCACAGTCAGCTAGTGACATGATCCCAGCTTGAACCCCCAAATCATAACCAAAATCTTCACTTTCACGTGGAACATTCACTTTACTGCTTAAGCCACTTTGAAATTCATGTGATTCATTTTTTTTAATTTTATAGCAGAAATATATAGTGACTTTTTACACTTCTATAAAAGGGGGATCAATTGGCTCATGGCTAAATAAAAATAAAGGTGCTTGTTAGAAATATAGCCAAGTAGTAAACAAAAGACATTATGTGACTGAAATTAATTTGGAAGTACCTTGACCATTGGTTGAGAAAAACAATAGCAGATTTCAAATTTGAAATTTACAAATTATATGCTCAAAAAAAAACAAGGTTTCCAATCAAACATACATTATTTGGCTAAAGAAGATAAGGAGTTTGTACATGTACTGCATGTACTCTACAGTTTTTAAGTATATGTCAAGCTTGAACAAATATCCCTGCGCTAGCCATTTTATATCTGCATACTCTCATTCTGACAATATAGATTACACGCATTACATAAATGTTTGTATTTAATCACGCATCACAAAAGAGGTAACCCCATACATTTTACTGTATTTACTCCCACTACAAACAATTAAATTAATGATGTACCTCATAATAATTAATAATAATTTAATAATTGCATGCACTTATATAGCGCTTTTCTGGACACTCCACTCAAAGCGCTTTACAGGTAATAGGGATCCCCTCCAACACCACCAATGTGCAGCATCCACCAGCATCCACCTACCTCATGCTGTGCTGGAGGCAGCTAACAAATTGCAAACTCTACGACTGGTTAGGGAGGAATAACTGAAGACTGTACAGGGGGAAAGAGATTTAATGCTTTAAGAGATCTGCATTTGCTTACTTCAGACCAGCTAAAAATA